GCCTGTTTGTTGAATTGAAGCGCCTCGAAAGACCAGTGACAGTCTATTTAGGGGATAACTCTACAATTCCAGCTACTGGAACGGGTGTGGTGCATCTGGCATTACCATCTCAGACGATCACTATCGAAGCCCTATACGCACCAAGTCTTCAGATCTCCTTATTATCTGTTAGTCAGTTATCACAGCAATTTCCGATCTCGTTTAGAGAATCATCCTGCTTTATTGGAGACTCTCTGCTGGGAACGCTGGACAATGGGCTCTACCGCCTAAATCAGAAGCCAGTTATTGCAAATGCCGCCGCTCTTCCATCCATTGATCTTTGGCATCGACGATTAGCCCACATCAATCGACAATCCTTGAAGTCCTTGATACCTCATACAGCATATACAGAGATCAAGGCTGGTAAACCTGAGGAGACCTGTGAGATCTGTGTCAAAGCCAAACACCAGAAAAGAATAGAACGAAAGCCGGTACCAAGAGCCACACATCCCTTCCAACTCATCCATTCAGATCTCTGTGGGCCCATAAGCCCTGAATCCATGTCAGGCCTACGGTATTTTATACTATATGTCGATGATTACTCGAGGTCAACCTGGACCTATTTCCTTCGCTCAAAGAATGCCGTTGAAGTGGTTTCAGTATTCCAGGAGTTTATGGCTACCATAGAGAAACAATACCCACAGTATCCAATTGCTCGGTTCCGCTGCGATAATGGAAAAGGCGAGTACGATAATAGCCTTTTCCGAGGAATTTTGAGAGTGTCAGGGATATTATTCGAGCCATCGCCTCCCTATACGCAAGACAAAAATGGGGTTAGTGAAAGGATGATACGAACTATCGTAACCAAAGCTCGTGCCATGCTCTTAGATTCCAATCTTGGAGAAGAATTTTGGGCTGAAGCTGTAAATACTGCCGTTTACCTTCACTCCCGTTCCCCGTCACGGTCGGTTGATGGATCAACCCCTTATGAAATGCTGCATGGGACAAAGCCAGAGCTTGGGCACCTACGTCAGTTTGGATGTATTGCATTTAAACTGATTCCCGATGCCCAGCGTCGTGGAAAGTTTGCGGAACGATCCAAGATGTGCGCTTTCATTGGCTATGTGCACGATACGTCAAAGATATGGCGTCTATGGGATTTTGAGGGAAAGCGAATCACACAAGCATCAAACGTTCGGTTTGATGAGTCACGAAGGGCAGGTGACCGAGTGGTTGGCCAATCTGAACTCGAGGTTCTCAAGAGCTGTATACCTGAGAATATGCCCCTAGAAGAAGACGACTCTGAATTCGCAGAGTTTCGTAAAGCGAATGACCTATCTGACGGCATTCCCTCAACTGAGAGGAGGACTGACGAGTCGCTCCTCCATAAAGTATTGAGTTTTGAGAAAGCCACAGCTCCTACTGCAGAGTGTGATGCGCCTACTACTGGTACGAGTAGTGTGAGGCAAGAAGGTGAAATAATCCCTTTAAGACGGTCGCAACGTCTCGGTGGTCAAACTCAAGTATACAGTGCTATACTAAGACCAGAATCCAATGATGGGAGTGACCCGCTTAGCTACCAGGAAGCTCTAAATCAACATCGTTGTGAACTTTGGAAAGATGCCATGCGGGCTGAATTCCGTTCCTTGAAGGAGAACGAGACATGGGAATACCTGTTTACGATTCCAAGAACTGTGAATCCAGTAGGCTGCAGATGGGTCTTTGTTCTAAAGACAAACCCTGATGGAACTCAGAGGTTCAAGGCTCGTCTAGTAATTAGAGGTTACGAGCAAGTCCCGGGAGTGGACTTTGGTGAAACATTTGCACCAGTTGCAAAGTTAGTAAGTCTTCGTTTACTTGTAGCCCTTGCAGCTGTTGGTGGACTAGAGATGCATCATATGGATGTCTCTACTGCGTTTCTCAATCCCCCAATTGACAATGAAGCATACATGCAATTGCCGGAGGGAATTGAATGGCTGGAAGCAGCCTTACCCCCTACAACTGTAGCTTGCAAACTTAACAAAGCACTTTATGGCCTGAAACAGGCTCCTCGTCTTTGGTATGATCATATTGATCAATTCCAACGAACCATTGGACTTCATCGTTCTGAGAACGATCCAAATCTTTATATTGCACATGATTCTAAGCTAATCTTGCTACTTTATGTTGATGACATTTTGATAACTGCAAAATCTCTTGATAGGATACAGGAAATCAAACAACATCTACATGCCCAATACCGAATGAATGACCTAGGAGATGTTCGCAGATTTCTCGGCATTGAAGTTGAACGGTCACCAAAGAACATACGATTACATCAAGCTACGTTTATCAGAACCATCCTTCACCGCTTTGGGATGACCGACAGTAATGGGGTTTCAACTCCTATGGAATCTGGACAAAAGCTGTTGTCCGCTCAAGAGACTGATGAATTGACCAATCAAAGAGACTATCAATCCTTGATCGGGAGTCTCATGTATCTTGTGGTCGGAACTCGACCAGATATCGCATTCTCAGTCGCTACACTCAGCAAGTTTAATGCAAAGCCGACTAGGAATCATTTCCTTGCTGCAAAACGTGTCCTTCGGTACCTTCGACAAACGATCAATCTGTCCTTGATCTACAGCGTTAGTCAACCAGAAGTAATCGGCTTTACCGACTCAGACTTCGCGGGAGATACCTCTGACCGGAAATCCACCTCAGGCTATGTCTTCTTACTAGCTAACGCGGCGATCTCCTGGAAAGCAAAGAAACAGTCTCTAGTTTCGCTATCCTCAACAGAAGCTGAGTATATTGGGTACTCGGAAGCCTCTCGTGAAGCTATCTGGCTTCGTCGCCTCTTTCACGAAATTACCACAACAAAGCATGAATTGCAGGTGCTCAATTGTGATAACCAAGGAGCTATTAAGCTTGCTGGAGATCCCAAGTTTCATGAAAG